TCGTTCCGCCCGGGCGCGGGCACGCAGACACACTAGCACGCACCGGCTGGCAACGGCACAAACCCGCCCAGCCGGAGTGACAGGAGCCCTGCTACCCGCAGCAAAAAACCTGCCCAAGGTACGGAGCATGCGCCGCCGCTCCCCCAGCCCCGGAGGAGTTTCCAGGGGAGGAGTCCGCTGCTCCGCGGGGCTCGGGGTGGCAGCTGGCGCCGGGAATCCCTTCTGCCTCGAGGGAGGAGAGACTGGGGAGCGAGGCAAAGGCGGAGCCAGGAGCGGCCCCGCAGGAGAGCGTGGCTGCTCTCTCAGGCGGGAGGTGGAGAGAGATCTGGCCGGCCTGTCGACGGGAATAACACCTGCACACCGCTGGGTGGATTCCCCTAAACAGGACTTCACAGGAGTAGGCTGGTCCCTTGTCAGCAGGGGAAATTGCCTCCAGGCAGCTTTTCATTTCTACCCAAGACATTCTAACTGGTGCTCAAGTTTTCCCCAGCCCTTCCTTAACGACAAACTTGGTGTGTCCAACCCGACAACTTCATTCAACCAGCATCCAGTCATGGTGAGACGCCATTGTCCCTTAGGCGTCTATGGTGCATCGATCAGGCTCTGTGTTCAACACCCAGTTCATTTCTTCCAGCCCAGTCAGCCCTTCCCAGGACCATGCAGTACTTATGGAGTAAGAGGCGTTTAGGGGTCACCTGCTGAAATTCATCCTACTAATACACGTTGAGGTACTAAATATGCAAGACCCACCCCTTCCCCCCAAAGTGGACGATAAGACCCTGCACTTACCTGTATTTCTTAACATAAATTAGCTCTTTTTAAAAAAAAAAACTTTATTTTTTTCAAACATCTAAATTTTGCATTTACCTGAGAACCAAGTCTTTAGATAATAACAATTTCTGTTTTTCAGATAATGGATGTTTGTACCATCAATTGGAATAAATTCCTGGTCTTGTTTGACCCAAGTGGAGAGTGGCAGTGTATTGAAGGTCAAGACAATGCAGTTTTGTCCCCTGGCCCATACTATCATGTCCCTCCTGGCTACCCTGCCAGTCCCAGTCAACCACACCTGGCATTCCATGCCTTTGTATCAGCCAACTTTCCCACCTGGCCTCCTTATAGATCTATGAGGTACTTGTCTCTTCCTGAGACACTGTGCTGATCTCTTTCATTTGTTAGACTGTCCCCTTGGCAACCATCACTTAAGATCCAGATCTGTTTCAGGGATGCTAAGGCTTGCCCATAGGAGGTTATTTTTCATTTTCCAGGCAGGTGGGGGTTCACCTTAACAAAGCTTCCCTCCTCTGCTTCCTTTCCTCTTTTCAACTCTATAAACAGCCACAAACAGTGCCCTTCCTGACACTGTATGACCTATATTAGTAAGAAAGGTGTGAGGTAAGATGAATCCACTTCTTTAAAGCTTACTAGATTCTTTTTCTTTCATTTAAAGTTTAAAATCCTTTTAATGGCATCCCACTACCCTCCCAAGCAAGAAATTGAAATAGAACCAAAACCCCGATAAAACCCAACAGTTATTCCCTGTGTGCATCCAGTTAATGGTGTCCTTATTTTGAAATACATACATTTGCTTTAGCAAAGTAAAAATTTATCAAATTTTCATATTACTTTATTTGAGAAGTTTCTCATTTTTTATAAAATCACTTGCTATCATATGGATAAATATAACCTTGTTCGCTACACAAATGTATAACCTGAGTGCTGGTGGCAATTTGTATGGTGGAAAGCACTTTCCTAGCCATTATCTCATCTGCTCCTCAGAACAATACTCTATGGCAGCGGTTCTCAACCTGTGGGTCGCAACCCTTTGGGGGTCTTCACAAGGGTCACCTAAGACCATCGGAAAACACATATATAATTACATATTGTTTTTGTGATTAATCACTATGCTTTAATTATGTTCAATTTGTAACAATGAAAATACATCCTGCATATCAGATATTTACATTATGATTCATAACAGTAGCAAAATTACAGTTATGAAGTGGCAACGAAAATAATTTTATGGTTGGGGGTCACCACAACATGAGGAACTGTATTAAAGGGTCGCGGCATTAGGAAGGTTGAGAACCACTGCTCTATGGCGATCAGAGGAGCATAATATCCCATTTCAGAGATTATGAAACTGAACCAAGGAAAGCTGGGTGAAAGCAGAGCCAAAACTAGAAACCACTAATATCCCTGAAATACATTCAAATCACCTTTGAAAAAATCCAATGAACATCAACAACAGAGCCCATAATTTCCTCTCTCCCTCTCAAGACCCTTTGAGTCAAGAGACAGGAAGAGGCAAAGGAATTGCAATAGAACAATTGAATTATTTTACCTCTCCCTCAGGCTTAAAGGCAAAGCTGAGCAATCCCCACACCCTGAAGTATTTTGGACTTAGTCAGAGAGTTCCCAGATAAAGGAGAAAGACAATACTATTTAACAAGGATTATATCACTGCTAAAAGACATTATTCAGGAGAATTTCAGAAGAAAGCATAATAACAAACAAATATAACAGCTATGTTGCTAACAAAATATATTTCCATAAATAAGTGTACCTTTAACCCTCTTCAAAAAACATTATCCTAGAAGATCTCTTTTTGCTTTCAGTAAAATACCTAAGGAGGCACCAACATTTCCCTGGGGTAACCACAAGGAAAACAATGCATAGAATCAAGCAATGACACAGTTAATTCAGGCATGGAACCAAGTATTCGTTTTTAATGATGGGTAATGTTGGTGGTGTGAACACTGTCCCAGGAGTGGCCTCCCTATCACAGTTGTGGAACTTGGTGTGAAACTAATCAGAGCTCTTAAATCATGCAATAAACAGGCTTTCTTATCGACAAGGGCAGACCTCACATTCAGGTGAAAATAAATAGAAATTTTCTAAAATTGAATGCTCTCCAGGTGAAAAGGAAAAACATATTTGCATTCAGCCTACTATAGTTACTCCATCATGACACCAGCTGGCAATTGTTTCTGGCTAACAGATTGCAGCTACTACGATTCCTACACAAATTATTAAAATAATAAAAATAATGTTTTCAAAGAGCTTCCTTCCACTTCCTTTGCCAGTCTAGCAATGAGCTTAACACTATCTGTGAAGCAATTTGTTCACCTAATTTTATGCCTTAATAAGCTTTACTACAATTATTTTCTTGCCTGATTCTCTCTCTGCCTTAACTTTAGCACTCTTCCTCCCTGTTCTTCTCAAATATTCTCAAACCCGTTAACAACATTGCACTCCCCTGGGATTCAAACTTTTGATTAGAACAGTCCCCATTTAATCAAGTTCAATTGGGAGATAAAATTGCATCTCAACTTCTTCATTTTCCCTTTGGTGCCAGAAACTGCCTCTGAGATTGTTGAGGAAACCCTGGAGAGATTAACAATCCAAACGATCACAGAGAATAGTTTTAGATTCCCTAGATTTGCACACAGTAATATAGAGGTATGAATGCCCTTCAATACAAATGAAAAACAAAATAGATTATGTAAGTGATTGGCAGTGTGAATCTCTCCTTTAAGAATACAAAGTGCTCTTATACACGGAAATGACTTTTTTCATTTTTGTAAACAAACCAAAAAAAAAAGCCCCTGGGGTAAGCAGTTTTGCAAATAACCAGAAAAGCAATGGCTTTCTTTTTCCTGAGGAAGTTAAGCAGAGAGTTTGTATAGGCAGGGCAAACTGCAGAAAGAATGTGATATGTACTGAATATGTTCCAGTTCACTACATGATTGTAACTCTGGGGCAACCATAACCCTACACACTGCTTTCCTTGAAGTTCTAATTATATAAACAGTTTATTCTTTGCTTTCTTGTATAACACTCTTCATTCACCATAGGTAGCTGCCTATGAATGATGAATGGAAACTGTACTGTCTGTATGCATAATGCATTCATTAACTTATTACAGTATAAGCAGATACAATAATCAGTAGATAGTCACTGATTTCTTCAACAAGAGCTTGTCAAGCATTTACTCTATACCAGGTGTAGTTCTGAGTGTTTTGTTAATACAACATTAAACAAGACCAATAAGGACCCTTCCATCATGTATCTTACATTCCAACAATGGAAAAATACATGATGAATCAATAACCAAGATTCATTCATTTAATCCAAAGATATATGTACTGAGTCCCTATTATGTTATCAGTTATTTTTAGGTACTTGGAATACTTTAGTGAACAA